GATTCTTACTACTATATGCTATCTGACTTCTTACTATTATTTTAAACACGAAAGTTATGTGGATGGACAGATGGATGTTTGTTTGTTGATATCTCCGTAACCAACGGATTTTGATGAAATTTAGCACGCATGTAGAAAATAGTTTTAAAAACATGTAGGTTACTTATTAAGTTTTTTAATCGGCCGGATGGAGTGGCGGGCGACAGCTATGGATTAAGTTAACATCAAAAGATTTTATATTAAATTAATAAAAGTGACGAATCATCTTATCGTATATTCAAGTGCCTACCAAGAGCGTTACTTGAAGCTTAAGAGTACTTATATTAACCACTTAGTTAACCCAGATAAGCGATCTCTTTTGTATTTTTTTTTCAAAACCTTGTTAAATGACCCTGAGAGTTGTTTACTAGTGTTAAATATGTCACGGGCTATTGTGTGATTCATTAACATCGGCCTATATCAATCCACTCAATCCGCCGCTAGACATGGGCTTTTCCAAAAACTTTCACAGTATACTGTCCGCTTTCAGTCCAACTTCCAGTCGTCTACAATAGGTAAGGTCCACCGGTAAAGTGGGCGCCCCATATTTCTTGTCCCTACAAGAGGCCCTCCATTAAAGCATTTTCCTGTGTTTGGTTCTTGATAAACCTACGTACAATAATTATAGATATATTTTTAATTACTTACCGTGAGTTTCTTAGACTAAAATATCTGTTTAAAATATATTGTTATCTCTGTTTTGTCAATGATAATGACAGATATCAAGATATGTTTTGTACAGAGATTCTGATCTCAGAAGCCCACGGTTAATCGATAAGAGTTTAAGTTCTAACATGTGGCTTGATTTCCTTAAACATGTTTAGAGATAAAATACGTTTTAATTAGGTACTATAACTTTAACAACAATATATCAGCAACTGTTCAACATCGTCTAACATACTCGTATGTCGTAAATTATCTTGTTTGAGCAAAATGAAGTCGGGTTTAAGTTATTTGAACATGCATTTCCGACAACTACTTCGCCTTCTAGAGAATTCTTACCTCAAACCACAAAAATGTATATAATAATCCTACTTCCAACTAATATTATAAATGCGTATGTTTAGATGGATGGATGGATGTTTGAAGGTATCTTCAGAACGGCTGAACAGATCTCGATGAAATAAAACGTACATATAGAACATAATCTGGAAGAACATATAGGCTACTAATTATTTAATTCCGCGCGAAAGGAGTCGCGAGCGACAGCTAGTTATAAACAAAAAACACATCTGTTGAATTCTCTATATTCTTATGAAAACAGGATGTTGGTTATATATTAATGTTGGTTAATTATTTGTCAAACTTGAAATAATAAGGACATATTCTGTTTGTGCGTAAATAACTCATGTATCATGTGTCCAATACTATATTATTTAAATGTTAGGGTGGAATTCCACTGTCGGAATACGAGTAGGAAACATGCTTGCGTCTCTTACAATCTCTTTGCAAAGAAAGAAACAAAAGAAAATAAAATTTGAATTTCTTAATAATTTTTCCTTCAGGCGCTCTTGTTAATATAATTGGCTGTTATATGAAAGGTCAATATATTGACTTGCAGATAAGAATTATTATATTTAATTGTAATCAACTTATTTACCCCACATTTTACTACGCGATAACGTGCTATTATTATATTATAAAATACACTCTGGGGATATGCCAATGACGTTATTAACTCGATATCTTCCTAATATTATAAATGTAAATGATTACATGGATGGATGAATGTTTCTTAGAAGGTATCTCCGGAACGGCTGCATCTTCAACAGCGGTAGAGCCCGCTTTAACATCTTCGCACGAATCGCCCCGGCTCGCCCGGTGAAATACCACGACCACATAGAAGACAGGCGTCAAGCGGAAGTAATTCTGCGTTTCGTCTGATGAGTGTGCGTCCCGGAGTCCTAATTTAGTCCTTTTCCCTTCCCATCCTTTTTCTTATAAGGAAAGGATGGGTAGTGGAAGTGGGCTTTCGGGATGAGAGGATGCATAGGAAAGGAAAATATTTTCTTTCTGTGCATCCTCTCCTCCGTCGATTAAAGTTAGGCAAGGCATATGCAATTGCGTATGTCTATGGGCAACGGTCACTTCGCTACTTCAGCGATTTCAGGTGGCCGCTCGCTCGTTTGCCACCTTATGATATAAAAAAAATCTTGATCAAATTTGGCACAGATGTAGAACATAGTCTGGAAGAACAAATAGACTACTTATTAACTTTAATCCCGCAAAGACGGAGTCGCGGGCAACAGCTATATCTTATATTTTTCTACAGTAAACTTTATTCTATTTAACCCAAAGCGTCAAAGTGTTGCCGCCTGAAGATTGATCGGATATTACTTGCGGCTACTTCATTCCGATGCAGTATAGTAACCGCAAATTCAGGGAATAACATACAAAATGTAAACGCAGATCTAGAAATAGACTAAATTCAGAAATAATATACACTAATTTACCAAAATTGCAAAGGAGAAAATATTGGAGGATTTTAAAACATATAGAACCTCCTTACAATGATAAATATTAAGAAAAAACATATTGAAGCAGTCGATTGATTCATGGTGATAATAATGATCGCACAAGACTGATTGTTTTTAAACGAATATTACTTTACTAATATTATAAATGCGAATGTTTGGTTGAATAGGTTCTTGTTAGATATCTCCAGAACGGCTAAAGTGATTTCGATCATACATATAAATATATATTTGTAACTACAGTGTGATTTAATGTATTTGTGTGATGGCAATAAAGTAGTTTTATTTTATTTTATTTTATTTCGCTGAAATTTGACGTGGATATAGAAAATAGTCTGGAAGAACATACTCTACTTATTAATTTTTTTTAATCTCGCGCAGACGGATTCACGGGCTTAAGCTAGTCTAAAAATAGACAATTTTTAAGTATTCGAATTTAATATGGTTTATAAATATTCAAGCGTTAGAAAATATTCCATTAAAGTTCGGAACTGCAATTAAAGTTTTGCATTGAGTCAAACTCTTTAACTTTCTTCACTTCAAACGTACTTAATAAAGTCTGTATATATTGACTTAAATTTATCGCTAACAAGCCGTCGCCCATGACTCCGTCCGCGCGGAATTAAAAAAAAACTTAACGAGTAGCCTGTGTTCTTCCAGATGTGTCTACATCTATACCAAATTTCATCAAGTTCCGTTGTACCGTAACGGAGATACCTTCAAACAAACATCCTACTATATAAACATTCGCATTTATAATATTAGTAAGATATATCTTTGAATTAACCTTGCGTAGTATTTAACCTTGAAATTAAATCATATATCAATCTCTAGGTATACAAGCAAAAGGGACTATAAATTTTATTATCCACGTCTGTCGAGTTTATCTAATGAATCAATCGGATATTGCCCATTTTATGAATATGTATCGTAAATTGTGTACTCTATAGAAACGGTCCTGTTCTATTATTAATCGTATTTACGACTACACTGTAACTAAATGTAAATTCAAAACAGATATTAAAACATGGGTTACATTTAATGTGGTAAGTCGTTAAAATTTATATATGCACAAATAACGTTATATTTTTTACGCCTTTTACTAATAAATAGCAGTGTGCTATAAATTAAATTTTGCAGAAAAATTTTATCAGAAAAAAATACCGATTTACTCGTTAGTATTTTTGCTAAATAAAACAAAAAGCAGTCTTGCCAACATCTATTTATTTTAAACATACCTTTGGGAGACGCAATAAAACTTAATAATTTCTTAAAATTTAATATTATAACCAAAAAAACATTTATTATAATAAAATACATTTCATCATCATCATCAGCTCACTATACGTCCCCACCGAGGGGCTCGGAGCCTACCCTAAGTTAAGGGTGATAAAATACATTTATCTTAGCTTAAATAAAAAAGCTGTTTATATATTTACACAATATTATTAGGACCCATAAAAATTATTGACAAATTTTGATTAGTTTTTTAATCACGAATTCTTATGGATTTCTTTTACAAACGGTATAATCTTAACATATATGTAATCGTATAGAAATGAGAGAAATACATTTAGTTATGCGAAATAGTTTTAAACTTATGAATTAGATTAAAAAAATCATACAAATGGAAAACAAAAATGTTCTTCATACATTTTCATAAAGAAATTACTTTACGAATATGTGTGTATGACTTTAACATTCGTTTGTTTTACAATAATCAATCACACATTTATTTTTTATTAATTTGTTTTTATTCTATAATTTAATTGAGATCGATTTGTTGAAAATAATTTATTTTAAACTTTTGTTACACAGACGTGAAATGATCAATAAGGAAGTAACTTAGTGTAGCTTTAGTATGATAAATCCACACTAAGAAGCTGCTTACCTAGACTAATATTATAATAAAATAAGAGTGTCTGTAGGTAACATCGAAAAACATACTTCGCGAACATTATGTATGTGTTACTTATGACTAACTAAAATCCACTTATGAAAATCTTTTGTTTGTGTGTGTGCAAGTCCACGTTTGTTCCGGGTGATCTTCTTTAGAAGTCGTTTACGACTCTACAGATTTTGACGGGTTTTGAGATGCAGATTGATTCATGAGAGCATCCTTAAAGTTTATTTTTTTGTTTTGGACTGACGAAGTCACAGGCGACCGGTAGTTTATCCAATAAACTGGTCTGAGTGTTATATAATGTGCTCACATATATATGTAAATAACATTATATAAAATATCTAAGTATTTGGAAGAAGAAAATAAATGATGCTATGTAGCTGTCTTTTGGGAGTGTATGTTCTCTGCAATAGCTTTTGTATAATTGCATCTTTATCCGCAGGACTAGATATTTACGTATATTTTACAAGAAAAATCTATTTAATTTGGTCATAAAAGTTTCTTAATTTATTCACATTTAGGATAATATAAATTTAAATTATTAACTTAAAATTAAATCTTATACGAAAATTGTCTTTGTAAAATATAGGAGCCATTTTTTTTATTATACAATTATAATTTATCTATTGATACATTTTTCATTAAGGTCGCATGTAAGAAAATCATTGGAGTCTCTTATAGTCATTATGGTGACCCCATCAGTGCTATTCCTTGTTATAATATTGTTTTTCTTCTTTGTGCTTCCGTAGTCGTAGTTCGATATAACGACGCTCTCCGTCGGATTTCTGTAAGAGAAATTTTGCTATTAATTTATACCAGGCGTCATTTCTATAGTGTTTTAAAACAATCCGAGAAACAAGAGTAATATTTAATACTCCAAGCCCGAAGTCGGGAAAGCGTCGTACGCCATTTAGGCTCGGCTGACTGACCTATGGAGCGGGATAGTAGTGCAAATAGTTTTGTTTTTATTTCTACGTAAATGACTTCGAGGTACGTATTTGTTACCACTTCTTACCTATTGCACCTATGTCTGTGTGTACTCCTAAAGGATGTTTCACATATCGCTGTCCTGGAGAGTCTGGAACTGCAAGAAGGATGCAAACTGCTTCGACGACAACACAGATAGCGGTTGAAGTGTTGTCTGAATACACCGCTTACGCAATACAGCGCTACAGGATTTACGCACGAATTCAGGAAACTGTGATCAAAATAGAATATAAATTAAAATGCAAATAACATATATTAAAGGAAATAATTAACTTAAAACATATTAATTTTACCACATTACACTATAATTGTTTTTAAATAAGTGCAGTTGATTAGTCGGATTGTGGTCGACAAACCTAAATATTTTTTTACTGTAGTCGTAGTTATTTTGTGTAGTATAAAATTAAAATTACTTATTGCTCTTATATATTTATTCCTGACTTTTCCTGATCTTTATATGTTATATACCCCTCTATCTATGTTATTCTCTCCTGTCCCACTGGGTTGCCAGGAAGAGATCGCTTATAGCGATAAGGCCGCCCTTGCTATGAAACTTAGTTAAAAGTCATGTTTTTATATATTCTAATAGCATTAAGAGGTAATAAATAAATTAGTTTTATAATATTTACCTCAAACAAAATCCTATTATCCTCAATGCGTGCGTCCAATCGTTGTAATCAAACTCAGCGGTCGGCGATAAATGGAACCACATCTCAAAGGCGTGATACGGAAGGAAACAAACGAAAAACACTGAAAGAAATGTGATGCTTTAAATTCCAAACTTACATAAAGATACAAAAAATATTATGAACTAAACATGAAATAATTTTCTTATGAGCGTAGGTAGCATTTTGATTGTGTGTCCGGTCAAAATAAACGGTGTCTAGTTTGTCCGGATTTTGTTACGCTTATAACATTTCGCAAATGAGAGTGGCCGAGCCGAAATAAAGTCCTCATACTGCAGAGTGTCCGGCTTTTCTTCACAAATGTCCGGCCAAACTGGCTGACCTATCCGGCTACTACGTTTGGTTACCTGGAAACCCTAAGCGTTTTTATGTTCGCTGTAATAACTTAACAAATTTTTGTATGACTTACCAATAACAAAAATCAACACCATAAGAGCTACTGATTTTCTAGCCTTAGCCTGCGCCTCTCCCTGTCCTCCATGCAATGCGCCCGGCATTTCTCTCGTACTTGCCAATAATCGCTGTGCCATCAGTGAATAAAAAATCGCAATTACCAGCAAAGGCAATGCATAGTATATAGTTGCTTTCGCTAAAGTCATCCATCTAAAAGTACATTTTATAATTTGAAAATTGATAATCAAAAGGAAAACATAGACTTGTACTGCTTCGAATTGACGTCTGATAATAACACGTCTAATTAAAAGACTAACCGTGCTTTCTGAGATTATTAACCTTGTATAAAACATATTGCTATCTCTGCGTTGTCAAAGATAAATAAATGGCGATATGTTTTAGATAGGGATTTTGGTCTTAGAAATGAACGGTAACTGCAACACTAAGTGGTCTTTATAAATTGCGCTATTGAAATAAATATAAGTGCAAACTATATTGAGCTTTATTTATGTGATGTGTTGTGACATTATTGTATTTACTTCGAATAATCCTTCCAGCCTTGAGGATAGGGAGTGCAGTAGACAATGGTAATATTATTGTGCAGATGCGCGGTAACAGTGTTGGAGAACACCGCGGCTGGTGTGGCGAAGATAAGCGCCGCTGCCCAAATAAATGTGGCACATACGAGTGGGAGTTTCCTTAGCTGAAACAAATTGTATATACTTTATTTTACTTATTTTTATATTCATATTTATTACTTTGCTTCATAGTGTTCGTGTTCTGTTATAAAAATTGTGTAGCTTAAATGTTAGGCCAGTTTTTATATTATACTTGCTGCCGCTAGCGATTCCGTTCGTGCAGAATTAATAAAAAGGTAGACTGTGTTCTTCTAGACTATGTTCTACATCTATATTCAGTGCGACACGTTTAATCATATCTTAATGATTAAACTTCCATCAGTTAAATTCAGTGTAAATTAACAATCCATATTCCTTGTTAGAAGGAACCTCCAAACAATCCTTGTTAGAAATTCCTATAGTGATTATTTCCCACCAAACATTAAATGAAAAACTTAACAGTAATTCTCACCGAACTAACGACCTTTAGGCTTCCAACATGACATGAGCACATATAAATTCTATGAACTACTGGACAGGGAAAAATAAACTCTTTATTGTAAAATTAATTAACGTAACATCAATTTATAAAACAAGCTAAAATATTTTACAACCAGTTATTGCTCTATTCAATAAATTTAAAAGAGTTCTAACATTCTATTTCGCTTATAAATAATATAAAAAATTAAATATTCCTCCTACTTCTTACCAATATAATAAATGCGAATGTTCAGATTGGATGGATGGATGTAGGTTTGAAGGTATCTCCGGAATGCCTAAACGGATCTAGATGAAATTTGGCATAAATGTAAAACATAGTCTGGAAGAACACATAAGTTCATTTAGTTTTTTATCACTCATCAAGTTTTATTTTAATTTCCCGTGGACGAAGTTGCGGTTGACAGCTAGTAACAGAATAAAAACGAAGATAATAAACGCAAAAAATATTGCTTTCGCATTGAAATTTTGGCCAAACCGTTGGTCGCTTTAGATGTTCCAGTAAACGGTTTTTTGTCAGCGCTTTAATTCAATTTCGAGTCAGCACAGGGCCCGAGTCTATAAGTGTTTCGAAAAATGTGAAATTTTAGTATTAAAAGTCAGCAAAAACTTACCTTTTATCAGCCAAGAATTTATTAAAAAATGTAAACTTGAATTATATTACCAATTGATAAATTCAAATCCCAGAGAAAGGGATTACATCTGAATAAATTTATAGAAGTAAATTCCTAGAATCCATAATCACAAGTCTGGATTGTTTAACTAGTAATTATCAATAAGAATATTTTTTTTTTAAACTCAATTACACCCACATTGTTTTTTCCATTTCCCACCACAAACATCATAACATAATTTCCATGGTATCCGTTGTCCCAGGTTCGAAAAATATAAAATCTTAATATTATCATAAATGCTAACGTTTAGAAGGATGGATGAATGTCTGTTAGAAAGTTCCTCTGGAACGGCTCAATAGATCTTAATGAAATCTGGCACACACGTAGAACATAGTCTGAAAGAATACATAGGCTACTAATTAAGTTTTTTTTAAACGCGCATACGGAGTATCGATAGACAACTAGTATTCCAATAAAATTTAAGATGTCCAATGTAAACATATTTCTCTTACTTGGAGTTTCCTAAACGGATTGACGATGGCGCAGTAGCGTTCCGCTGATAGTGCAGTCAAAGTAAAAACAGACACACCAATGCTGATGTCTTTACCCGCTTCAGATATTCTACAAATAGCTTCACCCCAAGGCCAAGACTCCAGTGTGTATATAATAGAAACGAAAGGCACACAGATAAGTATGACGAGTAAATCCGCCAGTGCTAAAGAGAAGATATACCTAAAAGAGGACAAACAGTTAAATATGGCAATCGATAAATCCGCAGTAGCAAGAAAACGGACAAAAAGAAAAGTTTAATTTTGTTTGTTAGACTCTTCTAGCTTTACTCTCTTATCCTTCATTTCTGATCGTATTTTGTTTTTCTATAGCGCTTTCCACAACTATGGCTGGAAATGCGTGTATGATTCTTGCGAGTATTGGATATTGATGTCCTTGGATTGTAATTTACAGGTTGCATACGTGGGAAAGTCAATTGATGGACGAGTAAAAGTTAATATACAAATATTGCGTTCCGGAGGCTTTCCTTATGAAAGGATTGGAAGTGGAACTGGACTTTCTGGACTGGGAAGTGGAGGATGCAAGGAAAGCGAAGATATATTCTTTCTGTGCATCCTCTCCTCCGTCGATTAAAGCAACGCGTATGCGATTGCGTATGTCTATGGGCAGCGGTCATTTCGCTATTTCAACGATTTCGGGTAGCCGCTCGCTCGTTTGCCACCTCACCTTATCATATAAAAAAATTTAAGTCTTACGTATTCGGAGCATTCCTCATTCCTCTGTGCCTGATGTAGACAATAACTAGGGTACCATTGCCCAACACGCCCACAATGAATATAATCGCAAATATAACTGGAACCAAATAAGTCTCCAATCTATCTTCATACGGTGTGTAGTCGCCGTCCGTAGAATTGTCTTCATTGGTTAGAGCGGACATGTTGCTTTGGTCGTCCATCTTTAAACCTATAAAAGAAAAGAATCTTTTAAAACTTGTAGATGTTACCAATCGATTATGAATTATGTCAAAGATTTATGAAATTATAGAGGGTTTTTTTATTGAAGACAAATTATAAATTGTAGATGTTAATTGTATAAAACTATACTAAGGTATCATAAATTTGTATTAATCAAAAACATACGTACAAATTATTTAGTTGTATATTAAATGTAATTTTAATATTCCGAGTTGTTTCTGTAAAATTAATTTCACGTTGCTCCTGTTTTAAAACTAATCTAATTTTAGTTTCACTAATGTAAGACCACTTTTCCACTGGCGCGACTATCAGGGCGCGCCTGCTTTATCTATAAGCAGAGTATTTAGCGTATCAGGATAAAGATAGCAGCTGAGCGCGACCTGAGTCGCGAGGCTAGTCGTTTAGTGAAAAAAGATTTTAAGCTTTTCAAAAGCTTCAATTCAAAAAATGGAGAAAAAACTTTACACGTTATTGCATAACACTAAAAACAAAACATTTAACACTATCCAATTTGTATTCCAATTACAAACCTGAAATCTTACAAAAAATGTATATTTTGGTATCATAAAATAGAGTAATTATTAGAACTTAATGTTTTTTTTTAATATTTTCTACACAAAAGTCACAAAAATGTGACAAATTACAAATAGTACGAAGCCACTAACAGATTACAAGATATAATTTTAACAAGCGTAAATTTTTTGTAATGACGTTATTCGATTGTCATATTTATTTTAACATCGATATTAGATATGATCGGTTCGGATGTCACCAGACGCGTACTTGCCGTGTGCGGTTTGATAATGGCGGGTTGATTTATGCGGCTCGTGAACAACCTACGTTTTCGTATTTCATAACATCGAAACGAATTCATGGTATTTTCTATTATTAGAGATAATTCAGTAGTTCTGAATATTTTCACTAAAACTATATTAATGTATCCAGATGTTCAGCAGTAAATTGACCCAAATAATCTTGTTTACAGACTGAATAGTCCAAAACTCCTTGCTTACCCCTAACGTGTGCGGTCTAAACTTTGTCATACGACTCGAAGAAATATGATTTACGTATGTGCAGATCGTAGAGACGGTAGGAAATGATTATCCCAGTAGTTTCAAATCAAAAGCGTTTAATATTTATAAACTACTACCTATCACCCGTGACTTCGTCCGCGCGGGATTAAAAATATCGTAGCCGGTTCTCAGACATACTGAATATGCATACAAAATATAAACGGTCAAACCGTTTCGGAGGATAATGGTGACTAATATTGTGACACTAGAATTTTATATACGTATAAGATTTAATCCTACCTTATGAGATGGAATAAAAAGGAAATAAGACGAACTAGATTTTAGTGTTATCAATTGTTTGGTATTATTTCTAGATAGAAATCTCTACATATAATGTTTTCAAGTCAAACAATTTCAAAGCAATTTATTTGAAGTGGACTTAAAGAAACTACAATAAAACTACTGCACTTTTCACTTAGCGAGGACAAACAAACATAAAGAAAAGTGCGTGCAAAGAACTTTATATCGCAATTTATTTTTGTGAAGACGTTTTCACAATGTTATTATAAGTATTCAGTGAAATCAAATCCCTTTACTTATCAGAAGAAGGTCATCTTAATAATTTTAAAAAAAACACATTTTATTCAACGATGTTTTTAAGACAAAATTATAAATTAGTTATAATACATTGTTTTTAATTAAATTCCATTTTATATTTCTACATTTCAATGCGATATAAAATACGTATTAAATTTCAATACGTTCTATTTATAATGACTAACAAAGGGTGTTCAATAAACTGTTGTATTTATATCAGACGCACGTCCGGGCTGGTTACAGGCAGATAATGCTCATTTAACACGATCACTCTATTCCGCTCTGTTGAACATGTCGAAAACACCACCGCTGCTCGCGACTGAACCTCACTGATACACATATTATCATCGAGTTTTACAACGACATAAAAATGGATTTAAAAAAAAACGTAACAATTGAGTTACTTCGTCATTATAAAGGTGATTTTGTGATAAAAATAATTAAATTTTAGATTTACAGGAGCTTTTTTTATAACAGAAGGAGGCAAACGAGCAGCGGGAACACCGAGGTGTTCAACGCCGCCCATGGATTAGCAATACCAGAGGAACCGCTGATGCGTTGCCGGAATTGTACTCGTAAAAAACTATTGTGCAATAGATTAATGCCCCCAGACAAAGATGCAAAGTGGGCAGACATTTTATGGTAAAAAGCTAATTCATTTTTTTAGGTTTGATGATCACCTATATGTGATCTGTTGGCAAACATTCATAAAATATTTAGGGAATAACAATATGTACAGAAAAATAACTACGTAATTTTTAATTCATAGATATTATTTGACCGATATCTAATTTTATGTCACTTATTCACACTTTAGGCTTAACTTTAGCATTAACATAATCTTCTTTAAAGTTACTTGAATCGGAAGATTGAAATGATAAATATTGATTATCAGTTTCATATAAAACTTTCTTTTTTGTATTAGGTAATAAATCATAAACTGGCTCTACATTTAGCACAGCTTTTTGCAACGATACGTTATCACTTTTCTTATCCTTAATTGTTTCTTCAATATTATAACTTTCTATTTTAATTTTAGTGTCTTTTGTAACATCCTGTAATTCTTTGTTATTAGTTTCATCACCTAAACTATTAACTTCAGTAGCTATTAAAGATTGTTCATTTGATATTATATGATTAACAGATTTTACTAAACCATTATCGAAGTTTTCTGAGCTTGCATCAGTCTTGTAAGTATTTTCATCTGATGTTTTTTCTTTTAATTCTTCTAAAACATTTGGCAATAAAATTGCCTGTGTTAATTTATTTTTAAATTTGTTGCTTATTTCATATTTCAATTCATCGGAATTGTTAACAAGATTTATATTTTCCGATTTTATCACTTCATCCTCTTTTGGATTATTATCATCTGATGAGGTATCATTCTGATAGTTTACTATCATATCATCATAACTATCGTCTTTTAATGATGCACTATTAAGAATGCACTGATTGTCTTCTTTATTTGACTCTGAAAAATCTACACCAGTTTTCATTTTCAATTGTTCTATAACATGTGAAAAACGGAGTATTTTACGATGTAAATGTAGTTTCTTAATTTTCACTTTCATATCAAGATTTGATTCCTGTAGATTTTCGATATCACTACCTTCATTACTAGCATAATTTTGTTCCAAGTTATCTGTTTCATTATTTCTTTGAATATTGGTTTGACACGATTTTGTTGATTGATTAGAAGATGTTTTTGTTAAATTATCGTCTATTTTCACATCGTTACAAGTAGGTTTCCGTCGGATACAATTTTGATAACTATTCTTAAGTCGTCGTATATAGAAAATTAAATAAGCAACTATAATAGTGTAAAGTATAAATATGCACCCACAAGCATATAATACGTATTCCTCATTGATATTCATTGTTCTGTAGAAATTAAAAATCTCTTGTAATATTTGATTGTTCATTCATCTAAAAGTTAAACGAAGCATCAGGATTTTATGAATCTAAAATAAATAAAACATAGGATATTAATGTAAATTAAAATGTAAATAATTTTACAAAAATAAAATCAACTGGTAACGTAGTGGTATTATTAAATCATTTATCTATTGGTTTTGGGACAGATTTACAAATTTATTTAACTAAAAGTTTAATTTCTACGATTTGTTTATTAAAGAACAAATGTTGTTATGTAGGAAAATATCGACATAGACAAGGACATATGGTAACTGATTAATTAAGACGATGGAAGTGGATTTAAGAATGGTTATTTCATCATTTATTCACTTTATGAATCACAAAAGTATAAATACATATATTCAAAGGTACATAAGAGCTATTTATATAATAATATAGATGTATTTACCTTATCGGTCCTTTCCTTCTATTACATAGAAGTATATAGATACTTATTTATAATATACTAAGATCTCATTGGTCTAATTTATCTAACATTAGTTTTTATAAGTTAATAAGTCTATTAATTTTACGTGACATAATCAGCAATATATAAGACTTTAGTCATCATCCGTCAAGCCTATACGTCTATCTTATCTTTCTCTCAATAAATCTGTAATAAATTAATAAATTAAACATAATGCAAATGACATTTAAATAAAAGAAAACTCGACTAAGCACATCTTAATTGAGTATTAAAAAAAAATTACACTTACTTGCTACGTAAAACGTGAATGCAATTTTTATTTTCAAATTTCAACATAATTTTTCATAACACGAACTCACAACACCGAATACTTAATTATATTAACCATTTGACGTTTAGTTTAGTCATAGGGAACGGAAAATCCGATATTCAATTACAGCATTTACCTTTTTCTCTTTACCGTGTTACAATTAATATATTATTCGAACCCAAATAAAGCGCTCTTATTAATCGATTAATTTAACTAGAGTAGAGAGGATTGTTCATTACACTAGTAAATTCACGGTCTCCTTTGAACGAATTATATATACTATGATAGAGTAACTTTAATATTGTTTCTAGAATCTATTCGCAGAGCCAACCTCCTTTCATCGAATGATTAAAAGACAGCCACTGTTATACAAAAAACATAAAAAAGAATTGACATATAAAGCCCCTGACAGAATAATGCATGCAATAATTTATTGCTGAAGAAAGTAGGATGTGTGCCAAGAACGTGTACAAATGTAAATGCTTAATCTACAATTCTTTAGCCTGTCCATTGCCGAAACAATTACAAAAACACTATAATATCTGTTTTAAAGAGTTTTCTATTATTATCCTACCCTTTTCCCTATGTAGGGTCGGTAAAGTATGTACTATTCTACCATACATACCTATAAGTCCTCAGTATAACAGAATTTATTCCATTCTTACATAACCTCTTTCATACAATCTATTCAAACCGCTTTAAAAGAGGAATACATTCTCTATAGTTTT